TATCAAGTCGGCCACACTGGACAACCCTGACTCCAGGACGTTGCTGGTTCACAAAGTGTTTCCAGGTTTTTCCATCAAGGCTTTTGACTACGAGAAGGCATACAGCTTGCAGAGACCCAACGACCATGAGTTCATGCAGCAGCCATGGACTGGATTTACCGTTCAGATCAGCTTTGTGAAAGGCTGGGGCCAGTGCTACACGAGACAGTTCATCAGCAGTTGCCCATGCTGGTTGGAGGTTATTTTTAATAACCGATGACTCGAGACAGAGTGGACTCATGACGTTTATACTACTTCGCTGCTATTATTTCCTTCTGAGTGCTTGCTTTTCATGCAGACTTTGTTTTTGTTCTGTTTTGTTTGTTCTCCCCTCTTTGTTTTGAGGAGTAGCTTATGGAAAGATTTTTTTTTTTTGCCTTGAGGTATTTCGATAAATATATCTATTTTTTAAAAGTTTGAATGACCAATAACTCAGAAGGATGAGAGAAGAGTGCAAGGGGGATGGTTCACATAATTATTTCATGCCTCTGAAAGGATTATCCTATGGGACTGATGGATTCAAAAGCCACTTGCTCTATATTACGGCTCCTTCTCTTGGATAAAACAAGATACCTGTATTTTTTATGCACCACCTTCCCATCCCAAGTGACGGTGACCCCTTCCCCAGTGGTGCTAACCCTGTGTTGCCACCAGAGGATGGTGCGAAACCTTCCCAACCAGGTCTTTCACCAACCCTTTTTAATTTTTATTTTATTTTTCTTGTTGCTGGGTTCATGTCTTGTCACTGTGTTCATTCTTCCACTGCTTTTTTTAATGTTTTTTATGGTCATAGATCAATACAAGGGGATAAAATAACAGCAGAGGAACTTTGTGCGTGGCGCATGCTTGATAATTTGAGCTGAGATGTGAAGCTATAGAAGCCTAAGCCTGACAACAAAACAAAACCAAACCAACAAAACAAATGAAAAACAGGAAAACAAAAGAAAGTGTTCACGATAGTTGGTCTGTTTTAACCTGCTTAGATCAGGTTATTCCGGTACCATCTTATCTGGAAATGCAGTTGTGCTTTCATTTCTTGTTGAATTCATACACAAGTATGATACTTTTACACTGTTCTTAGCTCAATGAGCATGTTTAGACC